AGACCGTGTGTGTGGTTGTGTGTGTGTGTGTGTGTCTCTTATAGCTCAGACTGGCCTTGAACTCTTGACCCTTCTGTCTCCACCTCTCAAGTGCTAGTATTAAGTACTGCACCTTATTACAGTAGGTAAGGTAGTGCACACCTTTAATTCCATCCCAGGGAGGCTGGGTAAGTGGATCTCTGTGAATTTGAGGTCAATCTGATCTACAACATGAGTTCTAGGAGAGCCAGGGCTGTATAGTAAGACCCTTAGAGAGAGAGAGAGAGAGAGAGAGAGAGAGAGAGAGAGAGAGAGAAAAGAAAGAAAGAAAGAAAGAAAGAAAGAAAGAAAGAAAGAAAGAAAGAAAGAAAGAAAGAAAGAAAGAAAGAAAGAAAGAAAGAAAGAAAGAAAGAAAGAAAGAAAGAGATTAAAAGCTAGCAAACAACTTTGTTGGGAAGTTGACCTTACTTCTACTCCAAACCCGGGAGCGGGGTCAGGGGCATCCTAAACACAAGTTAATAGTTAGGGCCAGGCTAAAAGGAACTTGTAAGAAGACACTGAGCAAGAAGTATGAACCTGGTTCCTTTTTCTTGCCAGGCCTTGCATGTCCCTGCCAGAGGTCAGCCAGGGTCTGAAAGGCAGATGCTGCCCTGGTCAACTGCTGGAGTTAACACAGTCCATACCACTTTGGCCAGGAGGGAGCCCCAAATTTCACTCGATTTTCCACATCTCTAGGCAATGGTCTGGTGAGATCTTATTCTAAGAACAATTGCCCGTCATCTAGCATGTCTAGAAGGTGACTGACAAGAAAGATCCCCAGGGTGCTCTAAGGGCACAAGGCTGACGTGTGGTGAAATTGGGAGGGAGGGAGCCCAGGTTGGATAAGGGCTTCTCCGACACCGTTCTCCAATGCCTCTACATAGCACTTAGCAGCAGTCACATCTACAACTGTCTACTGTGACCTCACATTCAAAAAGACAACCATTGGCAGAGTGCCCGGCACATACACAGCCCTGCTCTGGGAGGAGTGCAGGGCAGGGGCAGGTGGCAGGTGGCAGAAATGCTTCAGTTGAGGGTGGGGAGAAAATGGGTGGGGTCAAAGTCCCTGTTTGTTTTCAGACCAGGTAGCCCTGGCTGTGTAGCCCTGGCTGTCTAGGAACTCACTCTGTAAACCAGGCTGGCCTTGAACCAGGAGATCTGTCTGCCTCTGCCTGCTGAGTGCTGGGATTAAAGGCGTGTACCACCACTACCACGCTTGTTTGTTTTTAAGGGCTTTGTGGGCTTCATATCAGATTAGTTGGGCCAACCTAAGCACAGGAACAAGATGTAAATGAGGTTCTGTATAGTAAAGACTGAGTAAGCAGGATAGCAGGATACAAAACGTGGTTAGAGATGGGTAATTTGAATGTAATTGGCCCCCATAATCTCATAGAGAGTGGCATCAGGAGAAGGTGTGGCTTTGCTAAAGTGGGTATGGCCTTGTTGGAGGAAGTGTGTCACCCTGGGGGGTGGGCTTTGAGATTTCCTAGGCACAAGATACTGCCCAGTGTCTCAGTCAACTTCCTGTTGCCTGCAGGATGTAGGACTCTCAGTACTCCAGCGCCATATCTGCTTGCGTGCCTCCATGCTCCCTGGCCATGATGATAATGGACTGAACCTCTGAACTGTAAGGGAGCCACCCCAGTTAAATGTTTTCATTTATAAAAGCTGCCGTGGTCGTGGTGTGTCTTCACAGCAATTGAAACCCCAAGACAGACCAAGTGTGACATTAGGAACTACCGTCACATTCCTAAGTGTGAAGAAGGGAGAATACTGTGCCTTTATTAGGCCTTAAAAGTTTTCTGTGCTTTCCTGGATGATGTCTGGATGTTGTGCTGTCCTGGAGGCAGCCTGAAGAGCCTCCCGGGGGGTAGGGGGAGGGGGGTGGACCTTGCACGGAGGACCACGCAGCACACATAGTCCATCACTATCCAGTCTTCGCTGGAGAGTCCAGGCAAGTTTTGGTGCTCGTATACGTGGATAATCGGAACTAAAGGACTCTCTAGGTGTCAGGACGAGTGCCAGTGTGCTCTGCAGACAGACTCACCCTGCCTGTGTCTAGGCACCTGAAGCGGGGAGACAGCTGGTCTAGGGCTAACTAGATCTTAGCATTAGGGGACTTTCTTAGTTTCTCTTGACCTCAGTTTGCCTCTCTGAAATGAGATGAATGATCCCTTCCAGCTAGAAAATTATTTAATCCTAAGCATTAGCACCAAATCATATGATTTTCTGTTTTTGAAAAATCAGATTTTGAGGTACCAGTTTGCATCTTTATTTTGGGTGCTTCCCATCATTTATCCTCAACCTTTTTTTTTTTTTTTCATATTTACATCCGTAGTTTCTCATTTGACCTCACACAGTATTCTTGGGTTAGGCTCCCACCTGCTAGTTTATAAGCAGAGGCAACAAAATTGGGGTGCATCAGACACGGGCCACCCTGTGCACCTACAGCAAGGCCCTGTCACAAGTCGATTTCTGCCGAATTCTGTTCTTTTAGAGCATCGTCAGTTATTCAGGGGGCAGTGAATCAACCCCAGGTCAGCAGAAAGGAATTCTGGGAACACTGGCGGAGAGAAGTAGGAAGTCCAGCCGGTCCCACTTCACACTTAAGGGTCTTTTCCCCTGCGGGTGTAAATAGCCTCCGTCTGTCTTGACATCAGCGTGTTGGCGATGAGAGGTGATGTTCAGTTTTTTTTTTCTACTCGAGATAATTCAGAAACAAAAAGAGAAACCTAGCGTATGCCTAAGTTGTTCTTAAATACCCCAGTTGGAGAGATGTCAGGTTGTCTGGAGGTTCTTAGGCAGGCAAAGGCTGCCAACAGGCAGGTGAGCACCAAGTTGCTGTGACAGTGGCCACATTGAGCCATCTCTCCCAGGGCTTCTTGTGGTTGGTGCTCTGTTCAATGCAGTTGGGGCCCAGGAACAGCAGTCTGGGTGGGAGCAAACTGGTGCTGTTTTGGTGAACTAACCACTCTGATTCTCAAGGGGGCCCACAGCAAACTGAGCCTGCTCCCCCATTTCCCCTTCCCTCTTTAGGGGCTTATCAGGATTAATTATCACACCTAGAAGCTTGGCCAGCCACAGAGGAGTGCTGAGTGCTTCTGTGGAGCAGCTTCTCCTGAAGGGTTGGCTGCTGGAAGAGGAACTGGGGAGGGGCCGGCATCCTCCCACCTTCCACGGCTCGGGGCTGAGCATGTATTCTGGGTGAAGTTGTTCAAGAAGGCAGACTCAGCTCTGACATTCTCCACTAACCATTCTCCCTGTTGAGGGAGCGCCTTCTTCTAGCCTTCCCACCAATGTCGCTGAGACAGAGAAGTCTGTGCCTGGTGTCTGTGCCTCATGCAGCCATGTGTTCTGTGAGTGTATGTATAGTCTGTGTACCCTTGCATGGGTGTGCCTGTGTGCACATATACTCATAGACCAGAGGAAGATGGCTGATACCCACCCTCCTCCTTATTCTCTCGAGACAGGATCCTCTCACCAAACCTGGAGCTTACTGTTTCTGTGGCTATGCTGGCTGGCCAGCAAGGCCCTGCGATCCTTTCTCTGTCCTGACCCTAGCACGTGTGCCAGGCTCTCAGCCTCAAGCCCGCCCTGGCTTTTACCTTAGCACTGTGGCTCTGAGCTCTGGTAGTCCTGCTTGCTCAACCAGCACTCTTTTACAATTTTTTAAAGGTTTTATATGTTTGTTTTGCTTGCATGTATGTATGTGTACCACGTTGGGTGCCTGAGGAGGTCAGAAGAGGGCGTTTGATCCCCTGGAACCAGAGTTATAGATGGTTGTGAGTCATTGAGTGGATGCCGGGAATGGAACCAAGGTCCTCTGTAAATGCAACAAGTGTTCTTACCAATGAATCACCTTCCTGGTTCTGTCCTGAATTCATCGTCAGGTCTTCATGTGCTCTGGTTATGTTTCTTTATGTCCCTTCTCAGGCTAGATTATAATGGATATTTTGTGCAAGTAAATGCAGAAGAAAGTCTCAGAATGACCCAGGGCCTCTGACAAGGCAAATTAAAAAAAAAAGTCACAAAATCCTTCGCACTCATTTCGGATGCTTCATTGGTCTCCAAACACAAAACATTGCTGTATTGTGAAACAATTGGACTCGTTATGAAAACACCTACTCCTTTAAATATTTGAAAGTAGAATGGAAAAAAATGATGAAACCGATGTTGGGAGGGATATGTTGAATTAAGTAAAATTGTGCTCAAAGACCAGAGATGGGCAAGCGACGTGGAAAGCGGCTTTCTGGTACTGAGCGAGGGATAGTGAGGAAGCCAGAGCCTGGAGCTAATGAAGATCTGGCCCCGACACAGTGGATTTTTCCCACCATTGTGTGCGCCCTTCCCGGTTGCCAGCCCTGGGAGAGTCCCAGGAGAGCTCGGGCTTAAGGCTAACGTGGTGTTTGTAACCTTGTCATTGGGAAATGATGTCGCAGGTTAGTTACACAGGCCCTGATCGATGGTGGAGGCAGCAGCAGATCAATAGATTCCATTTCCGGGGAGAATTCACCCGTGGTGACCTGCAGGGGGGCAGGTGGTTCATCAAAAGAAAGCTGGCTTGGAAGATTTAATGCCGGTTTCTTCTACCTCCCGGTCTCCTCTTGGAACTGTAGGCTGTAACAGGCTAGTAATAAACTACTTTTCCTTAAAGAGCTCTGGAGAGATGGCAGTAGTACAAGGGACAGAAAGGTGACCACAGATCCTCTAGGAGACGGAAAGCCAGGATGGGGGCGCACTGGGCTTACTGGCCCCGAGCCGCCTCCCTCCAAAGCTACCTTGAGTTTGGGTGCTGAGCAGAGTAGCCCTTCCAGGCCTCGCAGGGCTGCAGCCCCTCGCCGTCCGCCCGAGCCCCTCCCCCGGCCGGGAGCCCCTCCCCGCGCTTCCCCTTGCCGCGCTCCCCTCCCTTCCCCTCCCTCCCCTTCCCTGCCCGCCCCGCCTCCGCCTTCTGCGCCCACAGCCTCCGCCAGCGCCGAGCCCCCAAGAGCCCGAGCGCGGCCCAGGGGCGCCACCGGCCCCTCCCCGGCGCGCTGACAGCAGGCTCGGCTCCCGCCCCGTGCCCTCGCCGGCGGGGCACACCCCCAGCCCTCCTCTGCGCGGCCAGTTCCCGCCGGCCCCACCGGGCGGCAGAGAGATCGAGCAGGCGAGCGGAGCAGTGAGCGCGGCGGCGCGGGAGGAAAGGGGCGCGCGGCAGGCCCACGGGAGCCGCCTGGGGCGCACGGAGCCCTCGTGCCCTCCAGGACAGTCGCATGCCCGGGAGCCGCAGCTGTGGGCGCCGGGAGCCGGGGCGGCGAACGGCGCGTGGGCCAGGGGTGGCGCGGAGCCTCGGGGACCCGGGCAACCAGAGAAGCTGGAACCCGGCCGGGATGAGAAGGTGACGCCGCCGGGGGGCGCCACTCGCTTTGTGGGGAAGATGCTCGCCTACTGCGTGCAAGATGCCACCGTGGTGGACGTGGAGAAGCGGAGGAGCCCCTCCAAGCACTATGTGAGTACTGCTCCCACCAGCCCCGGTGTGGGGCTAGCCAGGGCCGGGGGTGGCCCCTCGCTTCTTCTTACTATTAAGTCCCAGAGATTTGTGACCCCAGGGGCTGCCCTTGGCTCAAGTGTCTGTTCGCAGGGCTGCGATCTCTAGGGAAACCTTTTCTGTCCTTCCTCCACTCCTGTGTCCCGGGTTTCTTTTTTTGGCATTGCAATTGGCAAGTGGCTGCCCTTGTCTGTTACAACGGTGAAGTCATGTGTCCGCCCGTAGCTTGGATGGATGGCAGGGGAAGCTTTCGTCAGCCTCTTGCGGAGCAGTTCCTTTGGGAAAGAGCATTTTCGCCGCGCTCCCTAGGGGCGCGGGACGCTCACTCGGCCCGGCATGCTTTTAGTTGCTCTGACCGGAGACCCATGCTTAGCTTTCTGCCTTCCACGTTTGCTGTTCTGCCTGCACCGGCTGGGGTCTGGGGACAGAGGAAGCGTTTTGCCCCCTGCCCCCTCCACTCTTCGCTTCGAGCTTTGATTTCTTTTTTAAAGCCATTGTATCCCGCGGTGTGAGGAGGACTGTGGCTTTTCCTTTTATCCCTCCTCTGGACGTGACCCTTCGCCGGGGTCATTTCCTCATAAGTGATGCTCTGTCTCCAGACACGAGTAGGCAAATGTGGTCTGTGGTCTTCGAGGCACGGTTGACTGCCCCGCCGCCCCTCCCCCTCCCTCACCCAAACTTAATGAGAAGAGGCTACGGTTGACCGACTGGGTTTCAGGGTGTGTGACAGTCCCCTTTCATCTCAGCCGGTCCTGTCTTCCAATCCTTCACACCTTTGGAAGTAAATACTGTGTCCTTGCTGCCTGAGGATGGCTTGCTGAGTTCTGCTCCTGCACTTGAGATAGATGAGACTCCCAGTACAGCACCCAGGGCACAGAAGACGTGGCGACAGTAGAACAGCCTCCTGTTTGCAGATTAGGCATTTAAACGAGCATTTGAAACGCTCAAAGCATTCATTTTAACAATTAAAACAGGCTGTCGGTTGCTGCCCTAGATTGCAAGTTGGTCTCTGAAGCGCCTTTTATTTCCTTTTTGGAAGGAGGCTGTGTTTGTGGTGTATTACTAGCTCGCGGCCACTCTTTCTGCCTGGATCACAGCAGACCTGAAGACAGGGTTCTCTGTAATTGACTAGTGGGGCAGGACTCAGGTTGGGGAGAAGGTAAAAGTGATGAGGCAGGGAGGTGGACCTGGGGGTGTGCGGGAGGAGCATTCTTGACACATGGGGATCCTTTCCAATCTTGTCATCTGGTGTTGAAAGCGTCTATTGCCATTACAAAAACAAAACAAAACCAAAAGCTCCTTTAAGGGCTGAGGAGGTTGCTCAGTATAAGAGCCCTTGTCTTGCAAGTTTGAGGCACTTCTATCCCCAGTCCTACAGAAAAAGAAAACTTTTGGGGTTTTCTTGGGTCACCAGGTGGTCACCTTGCTCCAGGGTTAAGAATAGCGTTGACCTCATTTTGGGGAGCACCGTATGCTGTTTTAAGGGTTCTTTTTTACCAGCTCTCAGTTGAGGTCCTCGCTGCTCTCGGCAACCGCAGTCTGCTCTGAGACCCCAGCAGGTGTTTTCCCAGCTCTGGATTTTACACTAAACAATCAGATTTTAGCTCTGAGCGACTCTGGCTGAGATTACAACGTAAGGCACACTGACAAAGCAGCGGCTAACAGGACCGAGACCTGCTATTGGCAGTATTGAAAGGCAGGCCAGGCTACTGTTTGGTCTCCTTAAAGGGCTGGCTTGCCCACTAGCTAGCTGTGTAGCACTGTGCACATTCTTTAACACTCCATGAACCTTAGTTTCCCTGTTTCGAAATTTTTTAAAGTTATTATATATATATATATGAATGTTTTGTTTGCATGCATGTTGGCGCAGCACTTGCATGAAGTACCTGCAGAAAGCCAGGATCTGGAGTTCAGACAGTTGTGAGCTGCCATGTGGGTGCTGGAAGTTGAATCCGGGTCCCCTGGAAGACCTGCCAGCGCTTGTAACTGCCGCGCCATCTCTCCAGCCCTAATTTCCTCACTTTTAAAGTGAGGATAATAATAGTATTACTTCATCGGGGAGAACTAAATGACATCATCCCTGTGAAGTGCTTAGCTCAGTTCTGGGTAGTAAGCCCTCTCAGAGAGCAGCTAACTGTTGCTGAGATTCTGCCTAAGACAGTTTGAAAAACAGCTATTAATGGTCTGACTGAGAGGAAGGGGCCTTGGCGCTTTAAGATTGATAATAAAGCGTACTGTGTGGAAAATACAAAAGAAGTCCTGTCCACTTCCCTTGAAATGGCCATTCCCTCCCTTTCTACAGACAGAGTGTTTCCGGGGTCATCTCCACTTCCGTGGAAGAATGGATGATGTGATTCTTGGGGCAGAGAGTGATGTCACCTGCAGATGGGATCACAGAGTTCTAGAAAACAATGAGAGGGGTGTGTTGGGTGGCGGGGCATTGTGGAGCCGGCTAGGGCAGACAGCTCATCCGGCAACCCTTTCCTTACAGATGAGGGACCAGGGAGTCAGGTGGGTCACTTACAAGGTCGCCAGTCACGGTACTGCGGCTCACTTGCCCCAAGCTGGTGGTGTGAACTGTTCCCTGAAGATACCCAGAGTCTGGTTGAGGCGGACAAGGAAGACAGAGACATCACCACACATTTGGGACACTGATGCCTGACGCAAGGATGCCCAGTAATAGAAGGCGTTCAGCAGGGCGCTGGGGTGATCACTTCCCTTTTTGACCCCTGTGTAGTAGATACCCCACACTAGCAGAGCCGATGTTCTGGATAAGGCTGCCCTGGCGTGGTTAGCTGGCAGGATAAACTGCACTCAAGTCACATGTCCTGGTAAATTCTACACTGGAAAAGCATGTCCTCTTCCAACCTCCCGCCACCTAGTGTGAGTGCTCAGCCTGTGCTTTGGTGAGTGGCAGAGCCGAGGTTTTATGGGTGTACAAGTTAGCCAGAGCTTGAGGATGAGGGAGGCTTGGGGCCCATGCAGGAGGCGCGGCTCTGGCTCCAGAACACTGGGAACACATGCGAAGGTTCCTTCAGGACACCCAGCAGAGGGTGTGCACATCTATCTCTACAAGGAGGGGGAGCTGCAGAGGTGGGGGGGGGCATCTGGTGCTTTAGGTCTGTTTATGAAAGGCAGACAAGTAGCCTCCATCTTCCATCGTGTGCATGGTGTAGCCAGCCCTGGCTTCCTTCCTCTCTGCCAGCCCCTGCCTGGGGTGGGGCTGGGAAGGGTGAGCAGCTTCTGCTGATGTCAGCCTCCCTGTCTGGGAGCGGGGCTCCTGTCCTACCCTTCACAAACTCTTCCTCAGGAGACCTTAGGTAAACTGGCTTTGGCCTCAGACCCTGTCTTTAAGATGGCTCTGCAGATGCCAGATGCGAGGCACAGCCGCCTCCCCCGAGGGTCTTCTGACAGGGATGCGAGTTCAGAAGCACGGAACTCTTTGCACTGACAGGTGTGTATAGGTGTGTTTAGAGCCATATGGTGGTGGAGAGAGGCTTGTTTATCCAAAGCAAAGGAAGCATTATGTCTGTTTAGATTTGGGAGGTGTCCTGCTTTCACAGTTGTTTCCTTTCCTGAGTGTTTATTTCAGACAAATACCAGTCGTGAACGCCCTGATCCTCCACAGGACTCCAGGGAATGCAAATACAGCCGGTGTCAGCAGCTACCTTCCATGGTGCCCAGCGCTAGCAGGCCTGCTCCCCAAGGAGCCTGATGGTTCATTTACTGTACTGTGTGTGTGTGCGCGCGCGCGCGTGCGTGTGTATGCATGTACCCATGTGTGAGCCTGTGTGTGCGTGCACGTGCACATGTGTGTGCATGTACCCGTGTGTGTGTGCACGCTTGTGCTTGTGTGTGCATGTACCCATGTGTGTATGTGTGTGTGTGTCTTTGATCCTTATTACAGATGGATCAACCAAAGCATGGTGAAATTAGCTAGTTGCCTGGAATTCCCACTTAGCTCCAGTCAGATCTAGGTTAGTTACCTCCCAAGCAGAAACCCTGGGCTTTTCTAGTCAGAGTGCTGTTAGTGAGTCCAGGCTGAGGCCTAGATGGCAGTGAGAGAGCGTCACCGGGTGGCATTAGAGGGTCACCTTTCTAGGAAGCTTGGCCATCATGAAACTGGGTTTGACTGGTTGCGGAGGGAGAGCTTCCTGGGAGGACAGTGTCCGTCTCCATTGACTCCTGGAAAGCTGGATGAAGGGTGGGCCTATGCAAGTAATACATTCTCCCTGCATTTAGATCATCATAGATTTTGGTTTTGGTCCCAGAGTTGTGTTTTTAGGAATTGACACCAAACTCATTCATTTCTCTGCTCTTCATTTTTATTCTCTAAGCTCTGAGATTAAGGCTTCAGCCCCACAGGAGTGAGAAGTACAAGAACCCTTTTTTAGGGCCATGCATTATGAAAGACACGATACGGGACAGATTGGGGTTCAAATACGGCCTCTGGCACCTCCTAACTGTGCAACCAGTGACTCAGTGTCTTCACCTGTAACCTCACAGAAGCTTCTCATCTCCAAAGCACTCAAGGGTTTCTAGGACCCATGGATGGCGCTGAGGGAAAAGGCAAGACTGGACCGAAAGGAAGGCCCAGCTGTTCAGACTCTATTGGGCTTCTTGCCCCATGGAAAGCACCCAGCATACAGGACACCCAGTAAACAGGGAGCAGCTGTTCAGACCTGGAGGGGATCCTGGCTGAGCACTGGTGCCTAGTGACAGAGTCCTAATAAACGGAGAGGAAAAGAATGTGGGTTGGGAGAGAAGAGGTTGCTCCAGGTAAAGACAGGGCAAGAAGGATCCTAGCCAGATGAGCCCCAGCGGTCAGCGCTGCCCAGTCCCCATCTTCCTGATTCTGGGAGTGTGAGTGTCTTACACACACACACACACACACACACACACACACACACGTGTATAAATGGGAACCATTTCTTCTCTGTAGAGGGAAGTGACCTAGGGGT